GATAATAAATTATACCACTGAATGTAGGAAAACAGAAAAAAATAATAATAATTATTTACGGACGGTTCAATTTAATCAACCTTAAGGGAAGTTAAACGCCAAATTTGTAATTATAATGGTAATAGAATCCTAAGAGGTGACAAAGTACGGAAACAAATTAAGTAAAGTTCTATACCATACATATACAGGAAGAAGCTGAGGTTCTAGCTTCATACTCTTCCTAGACCCTTGGCCTCCTCTTTTGTACCGAAAAAAAAAAAATATTGAGGTGATGAGAAAGTGAACAAACAAGTCAGAAATTATGACGGCTCCAAGGTTGAACGACGACAGACTATCCCAATTGCCACAACCGATATTGCACAATATACTACGTTACCTTTCCCAAGAAGAAGCCGTTAGAACTTGCACGCTGTCCAAATCATGGCGCTATCTTGGCCCCACACGCCCCAATTTCACCATGGGAGAGACCGACTTTAAAGGAAGTAAACAAGAATTTATCAACGTCCTCGAAAGGTACTTACAACTATACTTGGATCACAAGATTTGTCCGCAAGAATTCTGTCTTTCCATGTCAACGCCCGATGCCGACTCGGTTTTGTTTCTTGACAAGTGGATTCCGGTGCTCGTTCGGGATTGGGCTGTAGAGGACTTTGGTCTTTTTTTCGATATACGTAAACATGCAGTACTCTTTGATCTGCCCTCTGTCTTTTTCGAATCCGAATCCCTCCAATATTTGTACCTCACAGACTGCAACTTGAGCAGAGTCAGTTGTTTCGACAGGGAAATATTGTCCGTGAATCTCAAAGAACTCAACCTTTGGAACGTTTTTATTACGGAGGACATTCTTGAGAAGATAATATGTAGCTGCCCATTGATTGAATTGGAGCTCCATAGATGCGTAGGGTTGAGAGCCATCAGAATTGATAAAAGGGCTCGCTATCTCAAGCGATTTGACTCATATGGTGCATCGAAAGACAATGAGCCGCCGAGTCTTGAAATTGACGTCCCATCTCTTGAGAACATCCATGTTAGTACCTGTCCGAATTGGTATCAAGACAAGAAAACCTATTTTCCTCATCTCAACTCTTTAAGTCTATTTTCTGTGAGACTCACTACAGAGACATTTGGCTTCTTTTCGCATAACTTCCCTTGCCTTGAAAGTCTATCCTTGAAACATTGCTATGGCTTTGAGGAATTTGAGCTGTCCAGTTGTTCGGTCAAGGAATTTGAGTTGTCTAGTTGTGATCCGTTAAACAGGATTGCTATTGATGTGCCAAGCATAGTCATGTTTAAGTATGAAGGTCGTGTTCCCGAGTCATTTTCTTTCACGACAAATTCCGAAAAGTGGAAATCGGATATAAATCTGCGGCCTGTTTATTTGTTCAATGAGATTTTGCCAGGGTTGGGCAAAGTAGGTCAACTGCTCAAGGCAGTAAGCGGATCTGAAATATCTCTAGATATTAGGCAGTTCTATATGTCTCTGCATTTGGTGTCGTCTTTTATGGACAATCTATTTTGCATTTGTCGTCCGAGAATTATACAACGGTCTCATTTTTTCCCAGAATCCAAATCGAAGTTTCACCAACGGCACGAGCAATCAACAAAGTTGATGTGCAATATCCTGGGGATGAAGAAGGGAGAATTTGAAAGTGGCCGAATAAAAAGGGGCCGTCATTGGCGACAAGATCTTGAGAAAGTAATCTTTGAAACACGACAAGTTCAGAGTATAATCGTTGAAATTTCTGATGAAAACCGGAAAAAATGGCGTCCTATCCTTGAGAGAAGTTGGTCGGAATTTTTGGAAGCATTGTTGCCAAAAGATTCTAAGCGGGTGGAGCATTGCATACGCTTTGGATTGAGCTGGAGAGAATAAATCTACCATCATAGTTGGGAACTGAGTTTCCAGTTCACATAATTTCCTGGCAGCTCAATCTTTTATATATAAGCATTTGTGATCTCAAGTGTTTTTTTTTTTTTTTGGTTAGNCCCATATGAGACTTTTGATTTTTTTTTTTTAACTTGAATTTAAAATGAGCTGAGACACAACATATAGGTCCTTAGATCAGGCTAATACCTTGAAACAATTTCCAAATAAGCTACAAAAGAAAAATGCAGAGGGGCTTAACAAAAGATGATCGAATATACTAGCAAACAAAATATTAGATTCATGAATGATCCAGTTCATATACTAGCAGCAGATCTTTCCAGTGTTACCCAACTAATTACTTATATGTCATCAGCAGCGTTTTCCATTTTTCCTCACTGATGATTATGTTTTCAGGATTTTGTACCATTGTAACGAGGCAGCTCATGAAAATAAAATAAAGTGCATCGTTCACTATTTTGAGAGGGTATGCAAGAATATGCCTTCTGGGAATGTCTCCTTTGAGAGAAAAGTTCTATCTTTGAGGAGAAGTAGCTCGTCCGACATTTGAATTTTGAATTTTGAAGATTCAAAACCGACCCGTCTGTCCTGTGGAACGGGCGGGTCGGGTCGAAACATGTGGGAAGGAATATTATATGGGTTGATGTTGATAAATAGGCTTTGTCAGTAAGCTTTTTTTTTTTCTTTTCTTTTCTTTGCCTTAAACTGTCTTATGAATGATGATCAAATGTTGTTTCTGTTGAAAAGTAAGTAAATAAGCTTGTTTATGTGAAGTTTTATTCTCCACCTTGTGTTTTACAGTTTTAGTAATCTAATAATGCAAATCAAATGTCCCTTTTAAATGTGTCGGTTTAGCTCCAAGTCAGATGTAAAGTGGTGTCCAAATCTGTCACAAGAATTATGGTCATTTCCCGTCTGTGCTGCAATGTGTCTGGTAATACTCAGTAGATGGAGAATGCCTGATTCAGTGATTTGAGAAAAGAATGAAAGGAAGAATTAACATAAACAATTACTATTTGAATTTCACAAATGGATAAAATCATATTTAGAATAATGGATAAAATTTTGATAGTTTGACTTTAGTGGACAATGGTAATTTACTGTTAATGTCATAGTATATAGTATATCATAAAGTAAAAACATGCCAACTGCAAGTATCATGTGTACCTTTAACTTTAAACTAAAAAATATCAATCTATATATATATATAATAAGAATTAACATTTACCATAAATAGTAGTAAGAAAAAATCAACTCACATTTATTATATACTATTTTTAGCAATTTTTTTATTTTACATTTTAATTTTAATTCATTATCAAAAAATTGGATGGTTCCTAAATTAATGGGTTTTAGATGACGTATCCTGTTTCAAAAATTATAAATCATTTAAAATCGGATGGTTTCTAAATTAATAGTTACAAACTTTTCAAAGTTGTAATCTTTATGGCATCTTTTCTTTTTGATTTTTTTTAAATTACTATGTTTATTTTTTATTAATATGCATAAAATAAAAATAAACAATTCATCTTTAGATATATAATTTATAATCTTAATATACTATCATTTGGTGTAGACATATGAATCATAATTTTTTTTTATTTCATAAAATTAAATATTATATTTAAAGAAAATAATGAAATTACTTTGGATCAATCGGGTGATTGAATTAGGGTACTGCCCACGTTGTGAATTACTTTTAGGTGATATTTAAAATAGTCAAAAAACTTGACATAACTTGTTGGTCCCAGGTAACTAAGTTATGTATCAGTTTGACCAGACCAAATCGATTATTGAACCTAAATATAAATTTTAATATTGAAAATACTTTATTATCTAGTCCAAACTTCAAATAATCATATTAACAATACTTTTACGACAACATGATTAATGATTTATGAATATTTATATATCATTTTATTATTATTTATGTGAACAAAATAATTATTTTATTATCATTTTTATTAATGTACGGTAAATATAAGGTTTTCAGAACCAGAACGTCATCGAAACGATCAAGTTATTTTATTAAATCATTTGTGGTTGTTCAGATTTTAATACATAATACTTTAATATATATATATATATATATATATATATAATACTTTTTGTAATAAATTTAAGTAAAAAGTGTTACTTAAATATCTAAATAATTTATAAATTCAAATTTTTAAACTAATTGATAAACAATTTATAAATCTCTATTTTATTTAAATATATAATTTTATTTAAAATAATTTTTAATGTAACAAAATTTGTTTAGAAAATCGTATCGATCCTACCAGTTCAACATACTGATGTTGATGAATTCGATAGCAAATATTTTATTCAAGCGCAATAGACTGGTTATAAACCGGTTCTCGGTCCATCCGGTCGGACTGTATCCAACCCGATTTAATTTAAAAATAATGGGTAAACCATGATTAATGTTATTTATTTATTTAATTTATAATACAATCAAAATATTGTTTTTCCGTGCATCGCACGGGCCACGCAGTAGTTATGAATTTAAAAGATATAATTCTATCTAAAAGTAAGAAAATCGTCAGCCAAACAACCGATATTTGATTGGTCTAACCGATATTTATAAATCAATTTTTAATTTTTTAATTTATCCTCACACATGAATTTTATTTATCCAAATAGGTTTAGCATTTAAAACTTACAAGTGAAGTGTTTCGAGCTCTAAATATGGACTATGGAGCTTTGCTAGAAACCTTATCATTTTCCCGATCGGAGCTTTGGGTTTAACACACAGACAAACATTTCCACTCCACTCTTCGAGTCTCAGTTTAACTTTTCAATCTCAAATATCAGGAATTAAGAGGAACCTAAGGTACCTCTACACTTCTCACTGCACGCGAGTGAGTTCGATATCACTGTTTCCTTTTT